TCAGAAGAATATGAAGATGAACTTTTAAGAGAAACTGATCTTTATAGCATTGAACCTGAAGATGATATACTCTCTGATTATGATTGGGAAACTGACTCTAATTACTCTATTGAACAAGATGAATTAGAACAAATCGAATGCCCCTATGATTCATACGATGATATCTTTAATGTCCAAGAATTATACCTAGCTGAGGAAGAAACTTCTTTAAACTCCGAACAAAAATATATCATTTCGCTATTACCTAAAGAAGTAATCTCTACTAGTGGAACTGATATTGGACGAACTTCATTTATCAATCATCAAATACCTTTGCAACCAAATACTAAACCAATCGCTCAACATCCATACCGATTAAATGCTATTAGAAAAGAATTTCTTGAAAAAGAAATCGAGAAAATGTTAGAAAAAGGTATTATACAACCCTCAGAAAGTCCATGGGCCTCTCCTGTCGTCATTGTTCCAAAGAAAACTGGAGATTTAAGAATTTGTATTGACTATCGCTCTTTAAACAACGTAACTATTACAGATAGTTATCCTATTCCTCATGTACAAGATCAATTAGAAAGTTTTCGAACTGCTAAATACTTCACAGCCCTAGATCTTGCTAGTGGATATTGGCAAGTTGAAATGGATCCAAAAGATAGACAAAAAACGGCATTCATTACTCCTTCAGGATTATACGAATTTATCGTAATGCCCTTCGGTTTGAAAAATGCACCAGCTACTTTCCAACGTCTAATGAATAAAGTATTACATCAACTTATTGGAAATTTTTGTGCAGTATACTTAGACGACATCATAATTTATTCTACTACGTTTCAAGATCATTGCAAACACTTACAACTAGTAATAGAAAGATTAAGAAAAGCAAATCTAAAAATTAAATTAGAAAAATGTTCTTTTGCTCTACACGAACTAGAATATTTAGGACACATTGTAGGAAGCAATGGTATCAAACCAGACTCTAAAAAGTTACAAACTATGAAGAATTTACCTATGCCTAAAACACCAAAAGAAGTCAGAATGGCTTTAGGATTATTCTCCTATTACAGACGTTTTATTCAAAATTTTGCAAAAATTGCCGGACCTTTACATGACTTAACTAAAAAGAATAAAGAATGGAATTGGACTAATCAACATCAGGATTCATTTAATACGTTGAAACAAAAATTAATGGAAGCTCCTGTCTTAGCTCAACCTGATCTTAGAAAAGTTTTCATATTACAAACTGACGCTTCAGATGAAGGATTAGGCGCTGTTCTTACTCAAAAAGATGATCAAGATGCCGAACATCCAATCGCTTTTGCTAGTAGAAAATTATCTGACCTAGAATTGAAATATACCACTACAGAAAAAGAGTGTTTAGCTGTAAGATGGGCTATTGAACACTTCGACCACTACCTGTGTTATAAACCTTTCGAAGTAATTACTGATCATTCTGCTCTTAGATGGTTATTAACTACTAAACATCTTAAAGGACGCATAGCGAGATGGGCCTTATTTTTACAAGGATATGATTTTTCAATTAAACACAGAGCAGGAAATAAACATCAAAATGCTGATGTCTTTTCAAGATTAGTACCTGTTAATACGATTGAAACTTATGATTCAGACGAAGACACGAATAATAATTTAAAATGGATCCAAGTACATTTCTCAGCACTTAATGTACCAGGATGTCAAACCAAATGGCAATGGAACGGGTTAGCTAATAATCGTAATTATAGAAGAAATACTTACTCCTGTAAGGAAACTAACCACCATTCTCATTGGTATTGCAAAATTTGTTTTCACTGCGTGAACCCTTATGGCAACTATATTTCATCTCCAAATGAAAATACTTTATGCAAATGTAACGAAGAATATCAAGAATTCCCTGACTATATTAATGAAGAAAGTTATTCGCTCTCCGACTCAAATGGAAGAAATATGTACCAACGTTCATACAGTGATGGTGATTCCGAATCAAATTATAGTTTAGAAGAAAATAAATCTCTTATAGATGGAAAAGGACATGATTGGAGACAGGATATACATGACATTTATTTACAAGCCGCCGAATTTAAACAAGTCACTGTCAAACAAATGAAAAACAATGCTCTAGTCGAAACTAGACAAGATTATTCTGTCAATTGTACTCTCTGTGGAAAAATTATTACTATGGATCTGGAACACGATTGCATTGTTGGATATGGATTAGGACAAATCCATCCTGAAATGAAATCTGAAGCCTTAGTTAATGAAGTATTCTGGGAAATACCAAAAGCAGTACAACAACAAGACAAAGCTCATCATAAGACACGTTACTTCCAAAATGAAAATGAATGGACACAAGAAGAATTGGATAAGTTATTTGATAATTATGGACCCCTTATTACCCCTGTTTCTAGTCGCATCACAACCCCTACCTTAGATTTTTAATTATATCTTATTATACCATATTTTACTACTATTATTTCATATTTTATTTATATTTTATTAAAGAGGTAATACCTAGTTGAATAGCATCTAGTGAGTGAAAGTCTCATATTTTATTATAATTGAGTGAAAGCGTAAGTGTAAGCAGTGTGACTTACAGCTCAATTATTCAACATGGACATACAACAAT